TGGATTTAAAAAAAAAAAAACCTGGAAGGAAGACTGGGTGAAGATGGAAACCCTGTCAGTGGTGACAGTGTGCCGCTGGAGGGCTTTGTTCTAAGGTAAGTCTTTCATAATGTGCTAGTAAACGATTCATACTAGCCCATTATGCTATTATTTTGCAGGGGACCATTTTTTGTGAAATTTTTTTGGGCACCCTAACCATTTGCTGCTCCTAGCAGTAGATTTGCTGATAGAGGGCCACAGCTGCAGGCTCAGCAGCGTATCCATGTGTCGCTTAGCACATGCACACTGGCGCACCTCCTGGGGCTCAAAGCGACGTAATCCTGTGACTGTAGTATCTGGTGTCCACAACGGACCACGGTGCTCAGTACCCAGCCTCTGTGAGCGGCCAGGGTAACATACGATAGCTATGTCCAATCATAGCAAGCACATGATAACTTATATGCAAATTGTTATGAATGGCCATCATTCATGACATTTTGCTTACTGTTGTGAAGCTGTGATTGGTCATTATTGATTACATGGTACCTGGGCCAATCATAGCACCCTGTACCATGTGATAACTTGTGACCAATCAAAGCATCACAACAGTAAACACAAGTTGTGCAGAATGTTAAAGGGTGCCTTGAGATTGTCCATAATTTTAAACGGTGCCTTGACTGAAAAAAGGTTGAGAAACAATGCCTTAGATCAGGGGTCTCCAAACTTTCAAAACAAAGGGCCAGTTTACTGCCCTTCAAACTTTAGGGGGGGACATTGTTGGTGTCACTGGGAGGAATAGTGACCCATCGTGGGCGTCGGTGGGAGGAATAGTGCCCCCTCATGGGCATCAGTGGGAGGAATACTGCCCTGTCTTTGGTGTCAGTGGGAGGAATACTGCCCCAAGGGCCAGGTAAAGGCAAGGAAAGGGCCACATTTGGCCCACGGGCTGCAGTTTGGAGACCCCTGCCTTAGATGATCTCACACTGCAGATATACAGCTATGAGACTAGAGTGTCTAGGCACAGGAGTGTCCAAGTACAAGAAGTACAATACTATCAAAAGAAATCCAACTCAAAAAATGTAAATCTTTCAGGGTAGTGCTTAGGCAAAATTAACATTTCTAGATGTTTCTTTGAACATCTATTTATTTATTGGATTAAATAGCGTTAGTTCAGAAATTGGGGTTACCCTTTATTCAGAAAATAAGAAGCTCCTTAGCCTTACATAGAAATATGAAAAACAGATTCCTCTATTTCTATTATTTTGAGCACTGTGCATTCTCAGCCAGCCTGCTCACCCAATGCGGGGATTCCAGCCAGCATTGGCTTAACACTTCATAAAATGTAACAGATCACTGCCATAACAACCACTGTGAAATAATCGTTTTAACAGCTAAAAGACTGGAACTTGTATAATAAAAACAAACATGCTCCATCTGCTGAGGGTAGACAAAAGTCAACCATATTGTAGCTCAGGGGTGTCAAACTGGTGGCCCTCCAGCTGTTGCAAAACTACAAGTCCCATCATGCCTCTACCTTTGGGAGTCATGCTTGTAACTGTCAATCTTGCAATGCCTCAGGGGACTTGTGGCTTGGCAACAGCTGGAGGGCCACCAGTTTGACACCTGTGTAGCTGGACCAGTACTTAAAGCCCAACTCCAACCAAACCATTTCATTTTAGATTTGGACCTAGGAAGGGTATTCCTATTAAAGAATAGCTAAAACAACACTTTTTTTTCATAGATTTGGATAGCATGGTGAAGAGTTAGAAGCGCTGCTTGATTTTTTATTGCTGGTTGTGTCCCCATTAGGGTATTCGCCCTCTCTAACTGTCCTAATCACTAGAAATGAAAGAGAAGGTACATCCAAAATTTGGAGTTCCCTCCAGCACAGGAATAGAGGAGAAATCCTCCAATGGCGTCATTGGTTCCTGTGACAACCGACTAAGAGGGGATTGCTCTCACATGGAAAGATATCTTCTACTGAGTGTACAAGATGGGAAATGAAGGAAAACCTCACTAATGAGACAGGTGATTAAAAAAAAAAAAAAAAAAATTTTTTTTTTTTAAACAGTTTTGAACCCTCTCCTACTTTATCTAAAGCCAAAGCTTTTATTTTCATTTTAAAGATACTTTACTCCAACATTTCATATTCCTGATATGTGTCTGCTGCACCATGTACTTGCCATGTAAAAAAGTATCCTGTTCTCTTTGCTTTGCTTCCTTTGCGTGAAATACTTGGTGATCCTGACAGTTCCCCTGCTTTCCTATTTCAGACTGACTTAAGTCAAAGTCAAATCACCATGTGATCAGTTTTCTGGCTGTGCTGGGTGCAAAGCCTACCTGTCCTCCAATGGCCAAGACTTGTGCTGACATGCCCCCTGTAGAGTCATTCACCAGGAAGATCAGTGAATTGCTACTTCTCTGCCTCCTGCTGACACACCCTCTGCACTCTTCACCTCCAATACAGCTGAGGTTATGTGATCACTTATAACAAAGTTATTTCTAATACACACACACACCTCAATAAAATATTAGAATAATTCAATTCAAAAAAGTGAAACTCATATTATATAGATTCATTACACAGAGTGATCTATTTCAAGCATATCTTTCTTTTAATTTTGATGATAATGGCTTACAACTAGTGAAAACCCAAAATTCAGTAACTAAAAAAATTAAAATATTACATAAGACCAATAAAAAAAAAAAAAAAGGACTTTTAATACAGAAATGTTGGCTTACTGAAAAGTATGTACAGTACAGTATAGTATGCACTCCTTTTACATGAATTACTGCATCAATGCGGTTGTGACAGGCGATCAGCCTGTGGCACTGCTGAGGTGTTATGGAAGCCCAGGTTGCTTTGATAGTGGCCTTCAGATCATCTGCATTGTTGGGTCTGGTGTCTCTCATCTTCCTCTTGACAATACCCCATAGATTCTTTATGGGGTTTAGGTCAGGCAAGTTTGCTGACCAATCAAGCACAGTGATACCATGATCATTAAACCAGGTATTGGTACTTTTGGCAATGTGGACAGGTTCCAAGTCCTTCTGGAAAATGAAATCAGCATCTCCATAAAGCTCCTCTGCGGAAGGAAGCATTAAGTGCTCTAGAATTTCCTGGTAGAGGGCTGCGCTGACTTTGGACTTGACAAAACACAGTGGACTTCACACTGGACCTCATGCAACTTGGATTCTGTGCCTCTCCACTCATCCTCCAGACTATGGAATCTTGATTTCCAAATTAAATGCATAATTTACTTTCATCCGAAAAGAGGACTTTGGACCACTCAGCGACAGTCCAGTCCTTTTTCCTCCTTAGCCCAGGTAAGATGCTTCTGATGTTGTCTCTGGTTCAGGAGTGGCTTGACACAAGGAATGCAACAGTTGTAGCCCATGTCTTGGATACGTCTGTGTGTGATAGCTCTTGATGCACCTACACCAGCCGTAATCCACTCCTTCCAATCAACTTGCCATTAATATGCTTGGATACTGCACTCTGAACAGCCAGCTGTTCTTTAGCAATGACCTTTTGTGACTTACCCTTCTTGTGGAGGGTGTCAATGACTGTCCTCTGGACAAGCAGTCTTCCCCATGATCGTGTAATCTACTGAACCAGACTTAGAGACCATTTAAAGGCTCAGGAAACCTTTATAGGTTATTGAACTTTTTCACAATATTCTAATTTTCTGAGAATCTGATTTTTTGGGTTTTCACTAGCTGTAAGTCATAATCATTAAAATTAAAATAAATAAATGCTTGAAATATATCACTCTGTGTGTAATTAATCTATATAATATAGGAGTTTCACTTTTTGAATTGAATTACTGAAATAAATACATTTTCTGATGATATTCTAATTGAGATGCACCTGTATACAGTATATGTTAGGCATTGCATTTCATTTAAAACTGAATGGGTTGTTTTACAAGGTAAGGGTTCCAATATACTTTAACCAGTTGCAGACTCTGGACATGTGACACATTTAATGTTTTTTTTGTTTTTTTTTCATTAATATTTTTACAACTTTAACATATATTTACAAATTTCTCATTTAAAAAAGTGCATAATTGAAAAAAAAAAAACAAAAAAAACACACCACTTTATTTCATTTGTAAATTGCCAGATCCTCTGGAGATTTATAGGGATTATTCAAATTCACTGTATTTGAGTGTAGTCTAAAACTGACATTTTGGCCACAACCATCATGTGTGTGGTACATGGTACCCTTGGCTTAGCAACCCCAAAGCATGTAGAAGAAGCTTCAAGTTTTAATTTTGATATTTTTGTGGGGACCAGATACCAGCTCAGCATTAGTTTCACTTTTCATATACTAAAAAAATATTGGTTGAAAGTTTGGATATATCAGCCATCAAGTTGGTCCACTTAGAAAGCTCAAAGGCCTTGTTTCCAAAGGGTCATCTCATGTAATAACAAGTTGTGGAAATGTGACCTTTAATCTTGGTTTAATAATTTCTTACATAGCATTGCAGCTTGGTAATATGTAGTCATTTGTGGCAAACCCAAACCTCCAGGGGCTTTGGTGCAAACAGCGTCTTCTTATTCACTCGGTGACCCTTGGAACCCTAAAGAGTAAAGCTTTCTTAAATCCATCAAGGTCTTTCCTAACTAATGGGACAGGAGGATTCCTAAACAATTTATATAAAGATTTATCTTTATAACTGCGATTCTGCAGAACCAGGAGGGTGGTGAAATCATCCATTTCTGGAGGTCCTACGTAAGGCGTATAAACACCTGGAATAGATCACTTTATAAACAGACTGCACCCCAGGTGTGCGATAAATACCTAAATAGGAAATGGTGGACATTTACAGATGGAAGTGAAAGTGTACTTTAACCCCTTGCCTACAGGGCACTTATACCCCCTTCCTGCCCAGGCCAATTTCCAGCTTTCAGCGCTGTCACACTTTGAATGAGAATTGCACGGTCATTCAACATTGTACCCATATGACATTTTTATCATTTTTTTGTGACAGATAGAGCTTTATTTTTGGTGGTATTTAATCACCTCTGGGTTTTTTATTTTTTCTTAAACCAAAAACCACTGAAAATTTAGAAAAAAAAAACAAAAACGTTTTTTTCTTAGTTTTTGTTATAAAATTTTGTAAATAAGTGATTTTTCTCCTTCAGTGATATACGCTAATGAGGCTGCAGTGATGGGCACTGATAGGCTGCACTGATGGGCATTGACAGGCATCACTGATGGGTACTGAAAGGCAGCACTGATACATGGCACTGATAGGCAGCGCTGATAGGCGGCACTGACAGGCACTGATAGGTGGCACCGATTGGCAGCACTGATAGGTGGCACTGATTGGCATTGATAGGTGGCACTGACTGGCACTGATGGGTGACACTGAAAGGCAGCTCATATGGGCACTGATATGTGGCATTGATGTGCACTGGTAGGCACTGATATGTGGCATTGATGTGGCACTGGCACGAGGCACTGATGAGCACTGACAGGTGGCGCTGCTGGGGCTACACTGATCATCAGGGAACACTGATGATCAGTGTACATGTTCCCTCCGCGGAAAGCCGATTACCGGCTCTCCTCTCCTCTCGAGCTGTCAGCGTGACAGCTTGTGAGGAGAGAAAGACATCTTCGGCTCTTTCTGTGAGCGGTGAGCCACTGTGCTGCGCGGTGAGAATGGGAGGACGTCATATGACATCCTCCCAGAATGAGAGAACCACCTTGCATCCGTCATATTACTATATGGCGGGCAGGAGGCGATTAAAGAAGAACTACACTGCATCTCGGATGGGGCGGCACAGTGGCTTAGTGGTTAGCACGTCTGCCTTGTAGTAAATGGGTCATGAATTTGATTCCCAACCATGGTGCCTCCTGCATGGAGTTTGCATGTTCTCCCTGTGCTTGCATGGGTTTCCTCCGGGTGCTCCGGTTTCCTCCAACACTCCAAAGACATGCTGGTAGGTTAATTGGATCCTGTCTAAATTGGCCCTAATATGTGTATGAATGTAAGTTAGGGACCTTAGATTGTACACCCCTTGAGAGTTAGGGACTGATGTGAATGTTCAATATATATGTGTAAAGTGCTGTGTAAATTGACGGCGCTATATAAGTACCTGAAATAAATAATCTGAACACCAAAAACATTTAATTAATTTTTATTACTCGAAGCAAACTCCCCCAACCATGTCTGCATGCTTTATTTTGCTGTGAAATCACTTGGAAAAAACACCCCCTAGCATTTCTGGCCCTGGCCATCTTGAGTAAGGGCAGATGAGTCATGCAGCATTTACTTTCTGGAACCCATCTGCCCTTAGCTCAGGTGTGTAGACAGGAGGAGTATGCTTAGCTGAGAAAGTCCCTTCCTTCCCCCTGAAGACTCCTGGGATGTATGACATCATTTGCCTAGGCATGGAAACCTTGAAGTAACTGAAGAAATATAAAAAACAAGTTTAAAACAAGTAAATGATATATTTTCCTATCTATTTACTAATGGTAGTTGCATAAGGATTGAAAATAGTCAATGTTGTTTGAGAAAGTGAACTTCTACTTTAAGGTCTCATGCACACTGTGTGTTTAGCCCTGAAGCATGAGGTTCCGGAATTTAGGTGTGGGTAAAAGGTACAGGCTCACAGTACAGCCCTGCAGCCAGTAGCTTTTCAACAGCTGTCAGCCTCTGGTAGAGTTTGACAGGGTGCTGGAGGGTCAGCCTGTACCTTCTACCTGGAGCTTCATGACATGGCTCAATCCTGCTCCCAGCTCCCTCCTCATTGGCAGTGATTGACAGCAGCAGGAGCCTCAGCTCTCATGCACATCGCTGGATCGGGATCAGGCAGGTATTTGGGGGGCTGCAGGGGAAGCTGCACACTGAAGGTTTTTTACCATCATGCATAGAATTTCAGCCTTTACAACCACTTTAAAGTTCACATTGACTTCCATAGGCCAATGTCCACCATTTCCTGTTTAGGTATTGACCTCACAGTCTGTTTATAAAATGAGGTACCCCCAATTTTTTAAACCTGTTACATGGGACCTCCAAAAATGGTTGATTTCGCCACCCTCCTGGTTCTGCAGAATCTCAGTTATAAAGAATAATCTTTATATACTTCCCGCACTTAAACACTGAAGCCTCATGCACCGGGCCTAAATGCCCAGTGTGCAAGAGGCCTAGGAGAATCGGCTACTTCCCTAGGTAAATGAAGATTTAAAAAAGGATAAGTTCAGCTTTGCAGATAAAAAAAAAATGTGCATTTACTATTTTTTGTTTTGGGGGTCCTCTGTAGCATTGCACCCACAATCAGCAGATCGCTGGTGCCATGCAGGACTTCTGCAGACCTGTCAGTGTATCTGTGTGCTCATACCTCATACAGGCAAGCAGATACACACTGACAGGAAGACTCAATTAACTACCACAGGGCTCCACAGTGCCATGGTAGTTCACTGAGAACTACAAACTGACAGCCACAAAGGCTGTTGGAACTTGTAGTTCTCATTCATAGAATACTGTGAAGGAGTGATGTGGCCGTGTAGGTGGAGCCCAGCATGGCCACTTTTTTTTAAATTGTGACAACTAGCGGGGGAGAGGATCCTCTGGTAGCTGTCAAAATGGGGGATCAGGGATGATTGGGGGCCAGTTCTTTTGTAACATATTACATGAATATGGGTTTAACATGTTACAAAAGGTGAACATGTCCTTTAATGTATGGGATCCATTCCTTGGGGTCTTCTTTCACTTTAACCACTTCAATACCGGGTACTTTCACCACCTTCCTGCCCAGGCCAATTTTCAGCTTTCAGCGCTGTTGCACTTTGACTGACAATTGCACGGTCATGCAACACTGTACCCATGTGAAATTTTTATCATTTTTTTCACACAAATAGAGCTTTCTTTTTGTGGTATTTAACCATGACTGAGTTTTACATTTTTTTTTCTTAATAAACAAAAAAAAGAATGTAAATATTGAAAAAACGTTTCCTAATTTCGACAATAAATTATTGCAAATAAATCTTTATTCATAAATTTATTCCAAACTATATTCTACTACATTTCTTTGGTGAAAGTAACCCAAATCAGTGTACATTATTTAGTATGTAGGAAAGTTATAGAGCCCAAAAACCATGATCTACATATATGAAAATTGATCAGTCCTGATGGCCTATCCTATTTCCTGAGGCACCTAAAATTCCAGGACAGTAGAAATACCCCTCAAAATGACCCCTTTTTGGAGAGTAGCCAGTCCAAGGTATTTAGTAGGAGGCATGGCGAGTTTTTTATAAAGTTGTAATTTTTTTGTCACAATTTTTTGGAAAAAAATTATATTATAAAAATAGTTTCACAATTTTTTTTTCTTTACATGCTGTCACCAGTGCAGTACATCAGCATCATATAACTGGTGTGGCAGTGATCAGGGACGCCGACTGGTAACAGTATGTTTAAAAAAAAAAAAAGAGGATGTCATATGACATCCACCCAGAACAACAAATGTCCAGCCCAGCCATAGACGATAGGCTGGACAGGAAGTGGTTAAAGGATAATGGAGTTTAGTTCTGTGTGTGTAGTGTATGGTGACTCTTAGTGACAGTGACTATATAGTTGATATCCAAACAGTTGGGAAGTTACAGATCCCAAGTCCGATAAAGTATTGCGAAATAAGATTTCTGATCCGTCATTGTTTAAGAGAAGATCTGAAACTTTGCCAATGGTTTTTAAAAAGCTTAGATTAGGTCATGTAATCCGTGTATGAGCTGAAAATCAACAGCGAAGATGTTTGCCTTGTATTCTCTGCTATTTATTTTATTCAAGAAAGGTATACATTACCAGGAATGTGAGGTAGGAGGTTCCATTGCAGGTGAGAACACGGCTAAGGAGAGGAGCAGCCATCCCTGGTGCCTCTGTAAATGATTACTGGGGTATGGTGGCAGCAAGGGTACCAGTATTTCAGAGTGTTAAAGTGTACTGTATGTAAAAACTACATTTTATTTCTCAGTATGTTTGGCATCATGCTGCACTCTATACAGTTTGACTGAGCAAATCTTTTTTCAGGAATCTGTTGCAGAGTTTCATACATGGAGATCCTGCCAGTAACAGCAGTTCCTGTTATCACCCACATGGAAGAAAAATATAGTTTAAAAAAAATCCTTTCCAAATATTGTGACATATTTGAAAATACTACAATTTTGTCCATATTCAATATATTTAAAAAAAATAAATGTAAAAATTCATATTTATATATACACATACACACTATATGTTGAAATGCATATTTATTAGATTAAAAATAAATTTTCATATATTATGTAAATATATTCTTCAGATTTTTTTTAACATATAAAAAAAGTAATTTGAAAATATATATCTACATTTTTGGAATGCATTTACAAATACAGTGGGGCAAAAAAAGTATTTAGTCAGCCACCAATTGTGCAAGTTCTCCCACTTAAAAAGATGAGAGAGGCCTGTAATTGGCATCATAGGTAGACCTCAACTATGAGAGACAAATGAGAAAAAAATCCAGACAATCACATTGGCTGATTTGGAAAGAATTTATTTGCAAATTATGGTGGAAAATAAGTATTTGGTCAATATGAAAAGTTCATCTCAATACTTTGTTATATATCCTTTGTTGGCAATGACAGAGGTCAAACGTTTCCTGTAAGTCTTCACAAGGTTGGCACACACTGTTGCTGGTATGTTGGCCCATCCTCCATGCAGATCTCCTCTAGAGCAGTGATGTTTTGGGGCTGTCGCTGGGCAACACAGACTTTCAACTCCCTCCAAAGGTTTTCTATGGGGTTGAGATCTGGAGACTGGCTAGGCCACTCCAGCACCTTGAAATGCTTCTTACGAAGCCACTCCTTCATTGCCCGGGCAGTGTGTTTGGGATCATTGTCATGTTGGAAGACCCAGCCACGTTTCATCTTCAATGCCCTTGCTGATGGAAGGAGGTTTGCACTCAAAATCTCACGATGCATGGCCCCACTCATTCTGTCCTGTACATGGATCAGTCGTCCTGGTCCCTTTGTGGAGAAACAGCCCCAAAGCATGATGTTGCCACCCCCATGCTTCACAGTAGGTATGGTGTTCTTTGGGTGCAACTCAGCATTCTCTCTCCTCCTAACACGACGAGTTGTGTTTCTACCAAACAGTTCTATTTTGGTTTCATCTGACCATATGACATTCTCCCAATCCTCTTCTGGATCATCCAAATGCTCTCTAGCAAATTTCAGACGGGCCCAGACATGTACTGGCTTAAGCAGGGGGACACGTCTGGCACTGAAGGATCTGAGTCCCTGGTGGCGTAGTGTGTTACTGATGGTAGCCTTTGTTATGTTGGTCCCAGCTCTCTGCAGGTCATTC